TTGCTCACTCCTGGATGGCCACTGCTTGAGCTGCCATACCTTAATTGCCTCCACGCCTCATCCCTCACTGCCTATGGCCTCTTCACTCAGGTGAATCCCGCCTTCTTGGAAGGCTTGGAGAGTCTTGGGGGAAGAGCTGATGCAAGCGGACGGGTGTCTCGAGCCACCGGGCTGTCAACTCGCCCTTGGCCGATTCGAGGAGGTGGAGTAGGAGACGAAGTGTCCGAAACAGCGGTGCCCTCCAATGACCTTCTCATCACTGGTCACGAGAACGGAATGTTGCAGTTTTGGCGCCTGGGCGCTGGTGGATGTGCGCGAAAAATTTTTGGCCTTTTTACTGGATCTCTCTTCGAGGGCGACTTCGGACCTGATGCCACAGGGGCAAGTACTTGTTCACTGCTTTTGCCCCTTTATCTGCGCCACTTTAAGGGGTCTCAATCTTATCGGCTTGCTAATTTGGCTTTTTTGAGGAACGGGAAGGCACGTCTTGTGCCCTGTATTTTGGGAGGTGTAAGAGATGGCCGTTTCATTTGTAATCTCACATTTCTCATTACTTCTTAAAGAAATTTGCTATCCACATCTTGGTGTTGGTGGAGTATCATCTTTAGAACTGCTTTTGTCTCCAACTTGCCATGACGAGGTATGCTTACTTTCATGTTTTTTGGTGCCTCCTAAATTTTCACGCATGCTTACTGACCGAGGAAGGCAAAGACAGAAGTATGGATGCAATGCAAGAGGGAGGGAGGGAGGGAGGGAGGGAGAGAGCACCAGTTTTCCTGGGACACATCTTTAAACACAGAGACTGAAGTTTAACCACTGGAGATGGACTTTTGATGTGGTGGTAATGGGTTGTAAGCGGTGAGAATGAGCTGCTTCAGTTATTCACCTCGTGCCAAGATTGTTGCTATTATAAGGTCCCCCTCAGATTGCATTTCTACAGGGCATTTGAGGCAGCAGCAGATAAGGAGCACATGTGAACCCCTATTTTGCTTTTTCCGCTGAGCGCTTTTTTGGTGGTAGTTGTGATATTCCCCTCCTCCACCGCCTCATGCATTGCGCAGAAGGGAAGAATTTCGGCTGCCCAGAAGTAAAAGAGTACAAACACTATGAATGACAATATTCATTGGTTGGGAGAGGCGGAATTTTGTGCTTCCGATACTTTCCAATACTTCCTATTCTTTTGACATTTTGACGCCTCATAGGCCACTCACCGGGCCGGCGAGGAAGAGAGCGAGCCGTGGCCACCGTTCCGTCGTGTGGGTCTATTTGATCCCTTCATGGACGACGTGCGTGCAGCAATAAAGGCCATCGATTTGGTGGACAACACTCTTGTTATCGGTGGCGCTGCTGGTCAGGTTAGCCATTGTCATTCATCCTCCTTTATTATTTGTTTGTTGTATCATATTATTTGTCTCTGTAGACCTCCGTGTGGCAGTTGGCACCGACCAAACCCACCATGGCAACTCTCGATGTTCCCGTAGCGCCCGAGGTGCCGGGTTTTCGATGGAAAGGATGTCCTCCACTGACCGTAAGTGTTCTTCTCAATGTCTAATACCCAACGTTGCCCTCTTCCACACCTCTTGACAATGCCATAAGTTCTGACATTATGTAAAAGGGAAGTGTGAATGGAAGGTGTGGGAGCTGAGGATGTTGGATTGCAGCAATCGCTTCTCCATTCAGAAGTGATGGATTTGTTCTCTACTTCTTGTTTGAGAAAATATTATCCAATCCTATATTGGGTGGCTTGTGAACTTTTTTGCCCACTAAGTCACTCATTTCTGTCCATGTCTGCAGCAACATCCTCAGAAACATTCAACCATCCATCACCAGATCGTCAGTCGGTTAGAAATCTGCTTAAGATTCTTCCATTCGCTTCGTGCACTTCACAAAGCCTAGATGCGGTTCACTTCCCTTCCCAACAAGGAGCCACTTGGCGCCTACTTATGTGGCCTTGTATCTTTCTTGAGTGTCTAATGTCAATGCCACTATGGCGACGTGATAGGTGTCAACAGTTAGTGAAGCTCAGTTTCATTCATGGCCGAATTCTCCAATCTCACTTCCTCTCTCTGTGACGGGGATTTGGAATTGTGAATCGCCTCATTTTTAGCTACGTAAAAGTCAACTTGACCAGTCCCAACGTTTGCCTGGGGCCAGTCTATTTCCCTTGGTGGTTGCTCTATGCCAGCCACCTTCGCCTATCACTTGTCTCTCCGTTTGCGAGTTGGCGGACTTCTCTGCCACGCAAAAGTCCTCACAACCATCGCTTCAAGCGTCAACCCAAATCGGCGTTCTGGTTGGAATGGGGACAGCTCATGGATTTGCCTTGATGCACGTCAAGCCAACGGAAGGAGGAGGGGGAGGAGGAGGCTTTGTATCTCACCTTCTCCTGCACTGCTCCACAATACCTTCGAACGCGGAGGCGCTTGAAGAGGCAGCTGTTGGTGAGGGATGGGCCAGACGTCGTACGAGGGAGTTAAAGAATTCCCTCCGCGATTCCTTTCGTCGTCTTAAACGCATGAAGTCGGGTAGGTCTACAATGGCTGCTGTTGCCACGTCCGGCTCCTCCACTTCTGCCCCACAGGCGACCTCGGGCTCGACGTCATCCCCCTCGGCGAATAGATTGAATTACTCGGCTCGAGTGGGACTTCGCAAGAGTGTCACTCGGGTTAGTCCCATTCCTTACCGATTTTGAGGCATTTATCTTCATCTATTTTGCCCATCATCAGCAATTTGGTGCTTGTGCATTGTGCGATAATTGGATCATTTTATTCCAGGGGAATTTGCTTATTAATCCTTTTCGACTTTTTGACAGAGCAAGTGAGTCTTTCGTCACAGAAAATGTTGGCGTATAATACATTGGAGCGCCAGCTTTCTTATCGTGGAGTATAGTGGGAAAGCCAAGATACACCAAAATCACTTTGTTGGAGTAGATTTAATACTTGTAGAAGAAGTTGGCTTTTCAATGCATGGGTTATTATTTTTTTGCTCACCGGAGTTAACATAATATTGTTCTGCCACAACTTCATTGCCAATGTTGTAGCTTCACAAGCGCGAGGCAGTGCTTGTATGTGAGTTGAGTGAGGGTGAGGAGGAGGAGTTGTGAAT